AATCTGCTTTTTAAATGGCTATATTTAGACCACAGAGCACTCAAGCAGTCGAACCAGAAGCTTCCAGCAGGGGACTGGCTGTGGGCAGGACAGAGGCTGGTGTTTTGATATTAGCTGTGAAGATGCGACTTAAACACCTACGGCGACATGTTCTGAGGAGCATCAAGTGCCTGGAGATAGCAGGTGCATCAAAATATCAGCGGAAGGGTCTGGGGAGGTTCATGCTAAGAGTAAACCCAAGAATTCGGAAAGGCAAGACCTCCCCACAAAAGCCCCTCCACTCAAGGGGTGTCTGCTTCTCACCTGCGGGGACACTTCTGAGGAAAGCGCCTTGGCTTATAACGTCTGTGGATGTTTTGAGTTGAACAATTATCTTCAGACCAATGTGTGGATAAAGTCAGGCAAGGAGGGGTTATTGGGAGGGGGTGCAGTCACTTCCCTCTCTGTCTCCCAGATGCGGCTCCATGATCTCATTTACTGGAATTCACCTCTGTGGGGGTCAAGGGGGTGTGGGGAGGCAGTAAAGGGTATTTGGGGTGGAGGACAGCACACACTAAATCAATATGGTAAAGAAAGATTCGCCCCAAAATGAGAGTGCCAAGGTAGCGCCCCCAGCCCCCTGCGGCTTAGACAGGGCTTGTTTGTGTCTGAAATAAAACACCTCTGTGGGAGCCACCCAAGAGCGACTCCTGGAAATCTGCAGGGTGGGGGAGGTGCAGGCGTCCTGCACTGAGCACTTGGGTTTCGGAGCCAGCAAGGCCTCCCGGGCCGCGGTTTGGTTTTTGTTCATTACTGGAAGCACGAGTAAGTGTTCGAAAATCAAAAGTGACAATGACCCAACTTGCAGAGCAACATAATCCTCTCCCAGGAAGCGAAAACACGTTCCCCACATTTATCTCAAATTGCGAATCAAAGCCGACCCCGGCAAATCTACACTAATCTCCAGCAGCCTGTAACTCTAAAGGGGCTTAAATGAGACCAGACTTCTATGGACACTTCCTTCCTTACCAGGACTCTGGAGAGAAGGCGTCGAAAGATTTCATGACAGAGGGGCTGGGGAGGCTGTGAGCCACCAGGCTTCCCACAGACAGGGCTTCTCAACAGTCCCGCACTCCGGGGGCCCTGAGAAGCAGCAGGGACAAGAAGGGCCCCCGAGATACTGAGGTCCCCTGCAGATAGCGAACGGTGGCTGTTTGCGGTGGCTCTGAATGGAAGGAGTCGTGACTGACTTAATCGACATGATCCCCAGGCTATGGGAAGTCTCACAAAGCACATCGGGACACTCCAGACTCTCATCCATTCGTCCTTTATCCACGCCATGTTCACTGGGCACCCGCCATGTGGCCAAGCCCTGCTCACAGTACCAGGGTTTGAGAACTACACAGGATCCTGGTGATTACACAGGATCCTGGAGGATCCTAGTCCCTAGAGAATCCAGGACACTCAAGCCAGCAGCTTATCCAGTGTAGGAGCTGGATAAGTGGGATGTGGGTTTCTCCAAGACATTCTCTCTTTTCCAGGACATTTGAAAGTTACCAGAATAAAACTTTTGGAAAAATTAATACAGGCTAACTTATTTGATGGATTTGTTTAGCCAACATACATTTGTCAAAGGGGGCTTCAGGGCCTGGCACTAAGCCAGGAGGACAAGACAGAGAAGGTCTCCCCTGCAAAGAACCCAGGCTAGGGAGAGAGATTTTTCACCTACTAGGTTGGTGAGTTGGGTTCTCCAGCTCAACAGACCAAGCCTGTCAGCGAAGCGGGAATAGTCAAGGTGACTGTGCGCCTCAAGCATGGTCACAGGCTGCAAACTCTGGCCTGGGGGCCAGATCCACTCACCTTATGGGTCAATAAAGTTTTACTGGTACACAGGAGACCTTCTCCTCTAATGTCTGTCTCTGGCTGTATTCACACCACTTAAACAAACACTAAATAAAAATAGTGATTCCTGTCCCACTAAAGAAAAAAGTGTGCCAGCTCTCACCCTACAGTCGTTTTTTGTTTGGGAGAATGTTGTTGGGAAAGCTGAAAACCTCTCCCCTGAGTGAAGTCACCAACCCCCGATGTTGCCTTCTTTGGGAGCACAAGTTTTCTACATGTTGACTTGAAGCTACGGTGCTCTGCTCTGGCCTTTACTGGAAAGACTTAAAAAGACGTCCGTGCAGGCCACACGTCTGTGATAATATCAGCCCTTGGCAGTGAGTCTTGCGAAAAAGAAGTGTGTGTTTTTTAAAGTTGAGAAGCGGAGTCTCGAAGGGAGGGCCTGCGCCTGCAGTAAGTTTTCAAGGATGAATGCAGACTGCAGGTCCAGAGCGGCGGCCTGAAGTCCCCTGGGTGGGCCAGTGGCCCCGTGGCCGCTGGTGAACACAGAACCCCGTCCGGAAAGCAAGGGCACTTCCAGCCCTGGTTGAGGGTCACCGCTCGACAACTGGGGAGCCGGCCGGTGCCCTGATTGGTAGCCTTCGCCAATTTCGTGGTGTCGATCTTCCTGCCACGGCCAATTTCAGCCCAGCTACTGGGCATCTGTGAGTGTGGAGCTAGGGAAAGATGTACAGCGGCTCCATCTATCACACCGTATTTCTATCATCCAGATATGAAAGATGCGAATCACCATGAGAGAGTATAATAGTAAATAATTAGGAATGATGAGGCTTTTGAGTATTTATCATCTTGGTTTGAGATAGATGTATTTAACTGTAGTAACTTTAAAGGAACTTAAATAATGTTTTGTGAAAGTTCTGGAAATTTAACGTTTGGTTCTTGCGGGCTGGTACGAGTTGGTTCTACTACCACAGACACTTGGGGACTCAGGGGCCAAGAGTGTAGAGATGTCTACAAAGCACAACAATGGGGGAGGTTTAGCTGGCCATGACTAATGGACTTTACATGGGGAATCTAGCAACCAAGGCCTGCTGCTTCCTGGCAGGATGGTGGTGGGCATGTCGGATCTCTTCCCTGAGTCTCAGATTGTTCATCTACTAATTAACGGGGTTATTATAGGGGCAGTGCAGTCAAGACAGCCTGGGGTCAAATGCTAGTTTCATCACTTCGTTGCTGTGTGACCTTGAACAAGTAACACCCCCTCTCTGAACTTCATTTTCCTCCTCTGTAAAATGGGGGCAATTACAGGGAGTTCACAATGCAGTGGATGGCGGGGTTAAAGGTGTTCTTCTGGGTAAATGGTACATGGTAAGTGGTAGATAATCAACAAAGGATCAGATGGATTACCTGCTGTTTATTGGATTCTTATCACCAAATATTTCTGGCTCTATCCCTTCTGTTGCACTTCTTGACTACTGTGCTTGAATGAGATCATGTGACAAGCTCTGTCCAGCGAGCCGGAAGCAGAAGTGATATGTCACTTCTAAGACAGAGCATTTTACTGCTGCCACCAGACTCTCCATAGCAGGCCATCCACTAGAAGAGTGAAAACCACATGAAAGCTGGTGGTGGCTCAGTTAGACTGGGTCCCTGAATAACTGATGAGCAGCACCATGGCCCGCTTGCATGGACATCAGCCAGGGGACATGTCATGGGAGCAAGAAGTACATCTTTGTTGCATTATGCTATTGTGATTAGGGGGTCTCTTGTTACTGCAGTGTAATATAGCCTATAATGACTGCCACACTGCTAAATAAATAGTGTTTATTACTACTATTCCGAGTGTCTCTAGGTTCCAAAAACACAATTGTCACCCCAAACATGCTCTCTATCCATAACCTATATCATATGCCTCTAACAGGAAAATTTGAGCTACTAGTGCCTCATTGACAGGGTGGAAGGAACAAAACATAGTTTGATTCACCAAACACCTAAACTTGAACTGAGCTAATTAGAAAACTAATCACACCAGTTCTCTGAGCCTCAGTGAGTTGCTCTGAGATATGGGATTATAATCATATTTATAATAATCATATTATAATCATATTTGCTCTCACTTTGCCAGTTGTGCAATCATGAGCTAGTGCACTCCATAAGACATAAGCTATTATCTCCAGAGGAAATTACAATCTGACTGTGATAAAGTTAGATGATTCCGAATGCTCTTCATCAAGCTCCTAAGAACTCCAGTTTGGTTTTTGCTATGCTTGTATAAACCATTTCTAGATCTACTTTGAAGAAACGGTAGCATGGTCTCCTTCAAAAGCACAGCACAGGACTGTCATTCCCTCTATTGCTCATCTTTCTCAGAATTGCTAACATTCTACAATGCACCTCAGCCACTTGTCCCAACAATCTCACTCTTCAGAAAGGTCTTCCTAAAGTCTTCCTTAGAAATGCTTACCCTAGGGATCTGACTAACATTGGCACCTACCTATGGACTTGTAATCAAAATGAAGAATGAAACCTGTATCTCCAGGGAATGTCCACAAACTAATTTGCTAACAACATAACACTCCTCCACTGCCAATTTCTTAAACCTTTTTTTTTTTTAAAAGAGACTCTTAATTTCATCACTTTGTCCTCACCACTTCTCGACATTTTGCAGGCTTTGGCATTTCCTAATTATGAACAAAGCCTAATTCAATCAAGATTCTGCCACTGGTTTTTCAAATGCTCCAACTGATGCTGTGAAAGCAACACCTTTTTTTTTCTAATAAATTAAACTTCTGTATTATAATCATTACCTAAAAATTCTCTGTAGATATACAATTTCATTTTTAAAAAATTATAATTACACACATCTACCTGTCAAGTAATAAGAATTCTCAACATATACTACACTGCATGTCAGCAGGAGCTATGAATTAGGCAGAAGGCCAAAAAAGTGGTGGGAGAATGAGGCCCTCGTTTCTCTGTTAGCGGCAGAGACCAAGGTGTGCACTGAACCAAGACTGACAACAGCCAGGAAGTGTGGCTCTATGCCAGTGGATCAGGAGGTCATTCTTCATTCATTCATGCCATCCTGTAAACAAGGCAGGTAATCTCTGTCCTTATAGAATTTATGGTCTAGCCAGAGAGCAAGGCACAAAACAGATAATTACACAAATAATCATTACCATGGTGATAAGGGCCAAGAAGGAACACTGGGCACCAAAGGGTAGAGCAGGAGCTACATCATCTACCGGAGGGGCACTTAAGTTGGTACCTGAAAGAATAATAAGAAGAAATCAGAAGAAGAGCAGGGGAAAGAAAATAGAGATATACCATGTTCATGGATCGAAAGACTCAATTGTGTGTTAAGAAATTTTCTTCTCTCCAAATTGACCTATTAACTCAATGCAGTCCGAGTCAAAAATTCCAAGAGGTTTTTCTGGGAAGTAACAAGCAAAAAAACAACTTTTATGGAAATTCAAAGGACATAGACTATTCCAAGAAATTCTGAAACAGGAAAACAAGATTGGAGGACAAGCCATCTGATTCAAAAGACTGTGAAGATAGAGTAATCAATAAAGTGTGGTATTGCTATAAGAATAGACATATTGATCAATGCAGCAGAACAAAGAGGCCAGAAATAGACCCACACATAGATATTTATTTGGTTTTTTAAATAAAGGCACTAAAGCAATCTAAAAGGTAAAGGGAAACTTTTAAACAAGTGTTGCTGGAACAACTAGATGTCTATATGGGGGTGGGAGATGACCCTTCAAGCCTTACTTCATACCATACAAGAAAATTAATCTGGAATGATCTGAGATAATAACATAAATGCTACAACAATGAAACTTCCAAGAGAAAACACATGAGGTTAGATACATGATTTGGGGATAGGCAGAGTTCTCAGACAGGGCACAGGAGAAAGAATATTCCCCTGTGGTAAGTGGGAGTGGCATAGGCAATACCTTGAGGAAGGAAGGAAGGAGTTTGGGTGTTTTTCAGGAACTGTAAGAAGGCTGGAGTGTGACAGATCAGATGCATCAACTGCTACAGTGATTTTATAAAAATCTTTAGGAAATGAATCCACAGACTGAGAGAAAATATCTGCAAATCATCTATTTGGCAAAGGACTCATCTCCAGAAAAGTGTAAAGAACTCTGAAAACTAAGCAATAAGAAGAAAATACCACTTTTAAGTGGGTAAAATGTTTGAACAGACACATGACCGAGCAGTTTATATGCATAACAAGTAAGCACATGAGAAGATGTTCAACATCACTAGTCATCAGAGAAAGGTGAATTAAAACCACAATGAGATACCACATATATCTATCAGAATAACTAAAATAGGAAAAAACAACAACAACAACTAAGGGTTGGTGAATACAAGGAACAGTTTACATATTACCAATAGCAAAGCAAAATGACACAACCACTTTAGAAAACAAACTACAGTCACACAAAAACCTGTATGCAAATGTCCATAGCAGCTTCAGACAGAGCTGTCAGAAACTGCAAACAATAAAACATCTTTCAGTGGATGGATGAATGAATAAACAGTGATTTAAATATACAGCGGAATACTACTCAGCAACGAAAAGGGACATCATATCATTTTGTGCAGCAACAAGAAGTCTCAAATGCATTGTGCTAAAGAAAGTAGATTAAAAAAAAAAACTACACACACACACTGCATCATTTCCTTTATATCACACTTTCGCAAAAGGCAAAGCAATGGGGACAGAGGACAGAGTAAGTGGGACCAGGTATACGTGGTAGGGGAACGGTCTGAACAGAAGGGAACAGCGTAGGGGAATTTTAGGGGTGCAGAAACTTCTCCCTATTCCCACTGTAGTCCAACTTCATAGAAATGCATGCTAAAATGAAAAGAAATTCATATCTTTGCATTAGAAGCAAATGCTTCACTGATCATCTCATCACCTGTGAAAGCATCGCCAGGTTCTGCACCACTGACTGGAGGGGCTCAACTTTTTGTTCAGGGCCTCGAAACAGCTTCCCGGGCTCCTTTCCAGCCAGTACCCTGTGCCTACCCATGGTCTTCAGCTCCCTCCACCACGCCAGCTAGCAGGAACCTCAAGCCCTCTGCCTCCAGGCCTTCACTCATGCAGGTGGCGGGGAATGCTTTCCACCCCTCTCTCCTTGAAGAACTCCTATTGGCTCCCGGCGTGAGGCTCAAATGTCACCTCCTTGGATAGTTTATCTGCAGGTATGCTGATGCGAGACCCGAAGGAGGTGCTGGCCAGTACCTCTCAGGTCCAGCTGTCTATGTCCTAAAAGGCTTATCACCTGGGAAAGGGGAGAGGAAGTCACATCTGTCTAGCGGAAACACAGACTTTCTCAGTAAGGCTTATTTTAACCTAAAGGAAATGGTGATCTGGAAACTCTCAAGAGGACAAAGTGCAGCACTCAGGGAGCCCCCTTTAGGGCCTCCAAAGCACACAGCCTGTCCTCAGTTTCTCCAAATCCCCATGTCCCCTGGGTCAAAATTCCAGTGATGAGGCTGCTCCTTCCCCAATCCCAGATGGATGAAGGTAAAAGGGAGGCCCCAGACAACGCTTAAGAGGGATTTCTTAGGCCGTGGCTCTGTGCGTCAGAAATAAAAAGCGGGGTTTCAGCATCGTGCAATTAATGCAGCAAACATTGATTTCTGCACTGTAAGAGGCTGGTTCATTAATTCCAGATGCTCCCACCAGTCAAGTCGAGGTTCGGCTGCTCTGCAAGATGAGGCAAATGAGAATACTGAATTTTAAAATTCCTTTCTGCAGCAACCTTTATTACCAAACAGAGCATAAAACCCACCCACCCAGACTGCTTAATTCTTCCTAAATAATTAACAGCACCTGCTCGCCTCCCGGTTACGCGGCAAAGCCAGCACAGCACTTCATGTCCGAGCAAGCCCTCCTTTGCACAGAAGCCCCGGACCTTGGTCACCCTGTGGCTCAGGAAGTCCAGCGAGGCACAGGAATTGCAGCTACATCGCTGGGTTTTCTTGAAATATCAAGAAAACAGCCTTGGTCCTCCAGGTGTGGTCAACTAAGGTCACGTGCCCCTCGACCCTGGGAGTCTGTCGCAGGATCGGCAATCCCTGCGAAGTCTGAGTGAGCGGCTGCACACACACAGTCCCCAGGTGACTGCCTCCACCTTGGCTGGAGAAACACTGCCTCAGGCAGTCTGTTCCAGAGAGGCGACCAGGAGCACCCCTGACACAGGCTGGCAGAGTAGGGACAACGGCCCCCCGTTTTCTGAGATGCCCAGCCCTGACTTCCTAAGATGCCTTTACACCAAACCTGCCATAAGGCTGTGGCCAAGGCCAAGGTCAGCCACCACTGACCAGCAATGACATCCTGGCCTCGTTCAGAAACCTCAGAAACACAAAGCTGTCGCTGTCTCTCAGAGCGGGCCCCGGACAAACAGCAACCCGCACCCCAAGCCTCCTGGCACCCCAGGGTCAGGGCAGAGCTTTGTGCACGCTGAAGTGTGGGACTGAGATCTTTCTGGCTGAGTCCACTGAGCGGAAATCTGAAGCGCAGCTGATGTCAACGGATGTCACCCCTCTCTCTGCTCCCCTTAGACTCGGCGTAGGTTTAGAGATGGGAAGACCACCTCTGTTTTCTAAATGGGGGAATGGAGTAAAAGTGAATAAATGACTCCCCTTGGGTCATTCACCTGGTACGGGGTTGAGAAAGTGGTGAAGTGATCTCAGCACCAAGCCATCGCCTCGAGCTGCCGATGAGTTCCTTTGGCCAGAGGGTGACAGGCCCCACCCTTCCCTCACCTGGACCCCGTTCTCCGTGCCCCTCCCGCCATCCATACAGTTCACCCAAGAGGAACTCGGGGATGAAACACGCAGTCTTTTGAATTTGGGGGCTCCTTCTCTGCCTCCCCGGGCGTCTCTGTTATCCTGATCAACTCGACGAAGATTTCATGCACCAAATACCACCAGCTCCAGTTGTCATTTCAGGATTCGCCCCGTTTTAATGAATGCCAAAGCTGTTTTTTCACTTGATAGAGCTTGACGAGAGCGACAATCACAGATTAGAGAGAAACTTCTTGCTTTTCAACAAAGGTTAATAAATAGTGACAGCATTAAGTCTATTCTGATTAACTATGCTGAAAGATATTATTGCTGTTTGTAACATGAAATCATTATTGGATTAAGCACAGCATATAAAAATGAAATGTGAGTTTTAATCTCAAACACAGACATGCAGGCTGCGCAGACACGAGCAGGCCCATATTAATTTGTGAGCGGCTGCTGACGAGATACCTCTGCCGCTGGCCTGGCTGGAGCTGGCGGGCCCTCGGCGACCGCCCCTCTTGCCGCCCCCCAGATGCTGAGAGGTGAACTCCCTTTCACTAAGTTGCATCACAGCGAGCGGCTAAACAGAGCATTACGGGGTAGGGCGGCACTCCAATGAGATGAGTGGGAAGCTCGTCCCGAGTTTCAATGACCCCAAAACGCCAAACTCAAGTAAGAAGAGGGCCTGGAGAAAGGGAAGCCCAATCTTGTTGGGGGAGGGGAGGACAGGGGACAGGGGGTCCTGCTGGGTCACGCACCTGGGGCAGGGCCGGAGAAGGATGACCACTACGAGCAAGGCCATGCCTTGCCCCGCCCCCACCCCCATCCGCGGTGGACGCAGGAATGCCCCAGCGGCACGGCGCCGGCCTGAGCACCCTGGTTCCCGGCACGGAGACTGTGACCTCCGCACACCGCCTCCCAGTGCAAGGGCCCACTTCTCTGGCGCAGTATCTGACTGCGAAGCTGGCGCAGGAAACGCACACGGGCAGTGGGAACATCTTCCCTTGCTCTCCAGGACCACTGGAGGGGTCCAAGGAGTCAGGAGCCGGCCAGTAGAGGACCTGACCAGAGGCATCTGCACGTGGTGACGGCTAATGACTGAGGTGGAGGAAGACGCTTCGGCTACACTGGCATCATGATTTGCACGATGCTTCACAATGATATTAAAAAACACACACACAACTCTCACTGGTCACTTATTTTGAAAACTGGCAACTAAAGGTAAAGAACTAAACGTTCATCCTCCTTTTTCTGGCCACACTTTCCTTCAGGATAAATAAATAATTGATGAGGGGTAGTTTCTCTGTAAAGATGTCTTCCAGCTGAGAAAGAGGATGGATGGAATCAACATCTCAACACTTTGCAGCCCTCATGAATTAATGGACCCAGGCAAAGAGTACCAGTGGGCATGCAACCAGCAGATGAGGAGCTGGTGGGAGACTTGACACTGGG